CCCGGCGTGCAATAGCACTTGTATGAGCCCTCCTCATTCTTGCAAATGCCATTACCGCAAATATTCGGATCCAAGGCACATTCGTCAACATCTTTGGTGCATGTGCGCCCCGTCCAGCCGGACGTACAACTGCAGGTGTATTCGCCATTGGGTCCATCTGCACAAACGCCACCATTTCGACACGGCTGCGCCGAGCAGGGCGTGCATACCTTATTCTCCGGACAAACGCATTTGTTCAGCTGACACACCATCGGTTCTTGGCAATTTGTCGCAGTACAGGGTTCGGCCTTCTCGCAGCGTTCACCCGAAAAGCCGCTAGCACAGTAGCAGTGAGTGCCATTCATTGAGCAAGTGCCACCATTGAGACACTTGCCGCCATTGAGGCAGTTGACGAGCGGACCAACAGTATTGATGGTGCCACTGCCGGTCGATGGCATGCTTGTCGGGCCATCTGTGGCGAGTAGTTCGCAATTGTAACCTGTAGTAGGGTGAGGCGAATTATTAGTGGAACTAATTGATAACTGCGTATACAATTTTTTTGTTTTCAAAGGTTTGTTGTCTATTCAACCGAAGAGTAATTCGTGATGGTTATTAAAACTAGCAAACCAAACGCCAACAATATAAAATTTTCGATATTCAAATTAAACTAAGTTTGTGGAATACGATACATACATAAGTATTTAACTCACTACACTACATTAAAGTGGTAAAAAAAATATTATAAAAATCCAGCGGCACTACATAAATACATATGAGTTAATTGTTACTAAATTCACTACAATAATTTCTACCAAATTTGCTTTAATCCTTTATACGATTTCGGTGTGTAGAGCGGTAAGTATTCGGTTTTAATTTACAAGTATTTTGTAGGTAATTGTATGTATAGAATTGTAATATTTTAAATGTTGTTTTGTTCCAAACCTGTGTATCCACTAGCACATAAACAAGTAAAATTTGAAGCATTTCCACTACAAGTACCACCGTTCAAGCAATTATCGGGAGGACATGCATTTAATTGAGCCGGGCGTATTTGCTGTACATTGGATAATAGCGGACTAATTGTTGCTGTTGTTGTTGTTGTTGTTGTTGTTGCAAATTTTGGCATTGTTGTTGCTGTTGCTGTGGTAGCTGTAGTTGCTGTCAATTGTGATGCTATGGCAATTGTGGCTGTTGTTGGAGTAGTAGCCGTTGCTGTTGCATTACTCGCCACCAAAATGGGTGGTGTTGTTGGTATTGGTAAGCAGTGGCCAATGGGGCCTAAATTAAGAGATTAGTGCCAATTCAAAGGAGATAGATAGTACATACAAACAATGTTATAGTCACCAGAATTAGAAGATGTGTATGTATGTATGTAAATATATTTGTCTGTATGTATGTGTATTTGTGAGTGTATGGGCTTGTGTGAAAAGCATTTGGTAAAAATTTGTATAATGTTTTTTTACATTTATACATTGACCTATAAAATCTTAGAGGATATACATATTTGAATGTTTGTACACAGGTAAATGTAGACATTAGGGTGCATCACTTTCGATTAAAAAAAAGTTGGTACTGTTTATCCATCGGAAATATAAAACTTATGCCGGTTTTGTTTCTACCGAAAAATGCAAGCTTCTCTTTGCCCTCTAGGCACAAATACTAAGAAGAGGGCGATGAGAAGGCAACATTTTTTGTAGAAACGAAATCGCCATTAATTATGCATTATATTTTAAAAATTCCGCCATAAAATATTTTTGAAGAATATTAAGACTAACGTGAGCTGGAGCTTTTTTAAAACACCTCCACAAATCGATTTTTTTTTTATAAATAAAATAAGTTTCTCAAAATATTTGTTTCTGAAAAATAACCACAGATAAGAAGAGTTTTAGCTTAGAAGGTACAACTCGAAAACCATTCTTTAGAAATATATTTCAAGCTTTCTATCTGCGAACTCAAATTAGTCTTTAAAAAACCTTTTCAAATGTTTATGTTTTCGAGGGCAGCGTTTAATATGCGATGAAAAAATATCTAATGTTTTGCACCACTATTTTCAGAAAGACAGGGAATTTTCAGCGGAACGGCAAAAATTAATGCATATCTACACACATGTGTATGTATGTATGTATATTAGGGTGGTCAAAAATTCATGTGAAAATTGAAATTCGTAATTTTAATGCACTCCCTACGATTGTTCTATACCGAAGAAATCTACTCCAATTTTTTATTTTGAAAAAAAATAAAAATATTTGGAGGTTATAATTTGTCCATGTATTTTATATGGGAAAAACAACTCTGTTTCTCTTCAGGAGACTTCCAATATAATACCCAATTGCTTATTTAACCATTTTTTATAGTCAAAATATTTTATTTTTAGAATTTTATATCATGGATGCAGGTCAAAGAGCAAATCTTTTTTCTAATTACCTATATACCTTTCCACTGGTTATTGGTGTTCACCTGTTTTTCTTTTTTTGTATTTCTACCATTTCAGCTTGGTAAACGCATCAATGCCAATATTGTACTCTTTACAAATAAAAGAATCTCGAACCACGATTCTACAGCGGCAGCACTGGATGAAGAATCATATCAAGGGTACAATTTTTAAAGACCTGTCCTTGTATTTCTTTAAATCATCCTGGTTTTCTTGCGACTCCAGGCAGACCTTCCAATAGGTTTTTCCTTATTCTATAAAAGACCTCAAAGAAATGTTTTCCAAGAATATGAAGAATTTCTCCGTAGTGCGGACACTCGTATATAAAGTTCGGAATAAATTATAGCTCTTCTTCACTTCTATAACTTCTAAGTAAACTTCGCGGTCATGTGCACAGTGGTCTAGTGTCCCGTCAGCTTTAGCTAAGGAAGCAGCCTACTGTTTCCCATTTGCCCATCTCACTTTCCATGTTCAGAGACAGGGTGCATTCCAAAACGTCAAAATACAAAGCATCAATCTCTTTTATTTCTAAACCTCAGCAGCGGTTAGAGACTAATTTTAAATTAGATTGCGCAAGTAAGGCTTATTCTTCTAGTGCGGTTTAGAAATAAAAGAGACTGATGATTTGTATTTTGACGTTTTGGAAAGCACCCACAGTTTTTTTCTCTAGACCTGACCGGATTGCGTGCGAAACTTTTCTGCGCTTATTTGTGGGTTCAAAAACACTTTTTATCAGGAATCGAAACCAGTAACTACTCATCCTACGTCCTAAAGTCCTACTCGTCCTAAATTAGGAGACGATGAGAAATTTGTTAGGTTCAGTCAAGTTATAGATTTTCAATATCGCTACGGGCAGCAGATTGTAGTTTTGAATTTAATTTCTTTAAATTTCTAGACTTAAGGTTTTAAAAAGAAACATATTAACTTTTGTATATAATTCTTAAAAATTTGTTTTGTTTTTTTAATTTTTTTAATTAAATGTTTTTTTTTTTATTTGATTTTCTTATTGATTTTAATTGTAAGATCTCATAAAAAAAATATTTTTTTAATTTCATTTAATTCTAAGAAACAAATTTAGTTTTTTTTTAATTATTTTTTTATATTTTGTTGAATTTTTTGAATTTATTGTTTTTTGTTTTATTCATTAATTTTTTTCTTTTATTTAATTTTCTTATAATTCTTGGACTTTATTGTTATAAAAAGAAAAATATTTTTTTAAATTACATTTTTACTTTTCCTTTAAAAATTTTTTTTTATTTTATTTTTTTAGATTTTATTGTTTCAGAAACATATTTTTTATTTTATTTAATTTTTAGAAAATTATGTTATTTATTTTTTTATCTTTTTAAAGTTTATTTTATTTTAATTTTAAGATGTTATTGCTTTAAAAAGCAACTAGTTTTTTACTTAATTTAATTTTTAGTAGCATATTTTATTTTTTCCCTTGTAATTAAATTTTTAACAAATGAAAAGTATTTTTTTGAATTCAATTTAATTTTTAGAAACTTATTTGGTTTAGTTTTTTTTTTAATTATAATATTTTTTTCTATTTAATTAATTTCTTTTAGTTTTTAGTTTGTTGCCGGAATTTTCCTGTTACTTGGTATGACTTCACTTGTTATTTTTCAGCTTCTAGAAAATTGTTTAAGTTTTCCTTTGCTGGTTTAATGATTTAAATAAATGATTTACTCTGTGGATGGGGATTAAACCATTCAAACCTTCCGAGAAAATATATTTACACACTGAATAAATACATATACATACAATAAATACCGAAAAAGCATAAAATTAATAAGCTATTGAATAAACAAATTCACATTCAAAACTTGCTACACAGATACGCTAATAGGTAGAGTTTCCGTTTAAGCCTATCAACTTAATATATATACATAGAACAACGGAGCTTTAGAGTGGTAGCTACACCGCGAATGGTTTCTATTATAATGGGGTTTGACTATCAACACTCACTACTTAATTTTAACTCGCAACGCTTCTTTTTCAACCAATCTGGCGGTATGTAACGTTTACGTTTCTCCCCGAGACATTCCCAACTGGCTAGAGTGTCGTTCGATTCGTCTAGTGATGGGTTAATATCGGAAGCTTTGCAAGGCAGCAGTAAGAGAATATTTTAATAAAGAAGTAGTAGAGAAGCGGTCTTAAAAAAGGCATATTCATTTAGGTACTTAAAGCGTAATGAAAAATCGTAAATTGTATAGAAATAATATTAAGCAAATTTCACCCACACCGAACCATCAACCCCTAATATCTTAAAGATAACTACTGAAACCCACATCCTCGCGGCGTCGGCGGCACACGCCAATGAATGCTTTCGAAAGGAACTAACTACATGACACGACAGTAAAGATGCCATTTGCTAAACTTACCCGTTGTGCCTGGCTTGCACACACACTTCCCAGCTATGCACTCCGAATCGATGGGACACTGCGGACACGGCGGGCTCTGCTGACACAGCTCACCACTGTAGCCCGGCGCGCATTGACAATAGAAGCCGATCGTTTTATTCACACATGTGCCACCGTTGAGACACTGTTGCGTCTTACAGCTGGTGGCATCCTCACACGTCTCACCAGCCCAGCCATCCGGACACTGACAAATGAAACCGCCATAACGATCATAGCAGCGTCCACCATGCTTACATGGACTTCCCTCGCATTCATCGATGTTCGTTTGACAAACTTGACCCGTGAAGCCGGTATCGCGGCAATCGCATGTGAAGCCATTTACCAAATCCAGACAACGGCCATTATTCAAGCAAGGCTGCGAAGCGCAATCGTCCACATCGATCTCACAACGTGCACCCGCATACCCTTTGGCGCATTCGCATTCGATTTTTGTGCTGCCCGGCGCTACTATGCAAGCGCCATTGTTGAGACAGGGATTCGATAGGCATATTGGATGTACATTCATTTCTTTTTCACAGCTTCGACCGGTGTAATTGGGTGCACATTGGCATAGATAGTCGCCGCGCGCATCCTCCACACAGCTACCGCCATTCGAGCAGGGATTACGCGCACACGGCGAGCCGTTGTCTATTTGGCAATTCTTGCCCGAATAACGTGGCGTACAGCGACACTCATAGCCATCGTTTAGCGAAATGCATTGACCATGACTCATGCACGGATCATTTGAGCAATAGTTATCCTGGCCAGGCATGAGTGTATCGTGATCGCCGCAGGGACCGGTGGCTAGCGGACAAGATCCATAGACGACGTTCTGCACAGAGCCATTGATGAAAAGTAGACCGGGGCCGTCTTGTAGGCAGCCGCTGAATGAGTTGCCTAATATTAAAATAGCTGCCTCATTGCCAATATCTTGATTGGTTAGAAATTGGCTATTGTACGTCGAATTGGCTGCAATTAAATGTAGAGCAGAGTTAAGTAATTAGAGCATGTATGAGTCGATACATATGGAATAGGCGATGTGATTGAACCGCATCGCATAAGTAAGTAAGTCGCACTTACCAAACACCATGGACGTGTGATCGATGTACAAATAAAGATTACCATACTCGTACTTGAACTGCAGCGTGTGCCAATGATTATCGAGCAAATGGTATGGTAGTTTAACATCCAAACGATTATTGGGGCCAATCACTGCCGGACCGGCCAATGAGACTTGCAGGAAATCATTCAGCACCGTGATGACGAATGAGTTTTTATTATATTGTTGAGCTAAGATTTCGCCGCCTGTGGAAAGGGTGAAAAGGAGAGAGTGTAGAAAATAATTTAGCTATGAAAAACTAAGAAACTATTTAATTTAGTTTAACTATAAAAACTTAAATAGAATTCAGCAACTCACCGCGACAGGAACGAAAACTTATGGCCGAATGATCCCAAATTGGCATCGGCGTGAGCAATCGCAGGTAGGCAGAGCCATTGAAATATGCCTCTGTGCTGGTAACACCAGGCGAGCTGGCGTGCACTGTGTGAACTAAACCTAAAGCTGAAAAGAAAAAACAAAGAAAATTATTAGAATAATACGATAATAAATTTCAGGCGAAATATTTGGATGAAAAAACAGGCCTCGTAAATTATTAATTAAGGTATGGGCATCACTGAGAAGAACAGGTTTTCATTATTTAAAAAAAATTAGAAAATTATACTTTTTTTTTAATGTTGTTAAAAAACAGACATTTGCATAGTTGCAGGATATTTCTAGTAACTGTCTTTCAACTCACCAAAGCCTTAAGAATGATAAAAATCTTCGTAATACAATTGCAAAGAGTTTTCTAAAACTTTATTTAAATGAAAAATTATATACAAATTTTATTTAAAGAAATTTAAAGAAAAGTTATTTAAAAAACAAAAAAAAAATAACCCAAAAAATTGAAGGTCGTTAAAGTTAAATGAAATTAAATTATTTTTTTTTAAGCTATGAAATCTTAAAAATAGAGTACAAATTTGGCTTAAAAAATAAAAAAAAATAACTTAGGAAAAGAAAAATGTAAAATAAGTTCCTAAAAATTAAATGAAATAAAAAAAATATTTTTCTTTTTAACACAATGTAATCTATAAATTTAAAGATAATTCAATTGAAAAAGTAAACAAATTTTGTTAAGAAAAAGAAAAGATTTAATTAAATTGAAAAAAAAAAATTGATTTTTAAAACAAAAGTTTAAAAATATAGATACTTAAAAATAAAAAAAATAAATTAAATTAAAATATAGTAAAGAGGAAAAAATGTTTTTGAATTTAAATGCAACTAAAATATTTTACTTAAATTAAGAAAAAGAGAAAAAATGCATAAATTAAGTTCCTAAAAATTAAATGAAATTAAAAAATTGTATTTTTATTCTTCTTTTTAAAACAATTAAATCTAGAAATTTAAAAAACTTAAATTAGAAAGTGAAAAAATATTCAATTAAAATAAAGAAAAAAATTCCGCTGCCTGCGTATTCGAAATTCGGATCTCTCGAATGGCATGCCAGTGCTTTGCTCACACGGCCATTGCGACTGTTGGAGCGGCGCGAGTAAAATGATATTCAAGTGCTTTCTGTCAAAACAACCTTTCACCATGAAAACAAAAAACAAGATCCTTAAAATTATCTTGCATGATAAAATGAAGACTTCGTAAAACCTAATGAGACCTAAGGTAAAATTTAGCAAATAGTTTTCATTTTTTTTAGAACATTCAAAGCCATTAATCCAACTTGACCTTACCGTTGACGAAAAGGGAGTTAAAATGTTCTACAAAAATTTTAAATTGGGAATTTTAGCACAGGTCACTGAATATAAAAATCATCTATTTTTACTACGTTTAGTGGGAGAGTAAATATAACGCAAACAATTTCTTGTAAAATTATATAATTTTTAGGCAAAAAATAAAAACTTCTTCCCTCCATTGATCATTAAAATTGGAAAATATATTAGTTTCCAATTCGATAATCAGTACCGTGGCAGAAGAGTAAAGTAAATATACGATTACTTGCGAACGCCTAGGGTTGTAGTACATGGTGCGAAGACTGTCATTAGGTACAATAAAACCATATATGTAATACTTCTATATTGGCAGTAAGCTAACTTCTCAATGTGTAAGCATTCCGAAATCAAAGCGAGACAGTCTAGTACCGTTTTTGTCAATGTATTGTGTACTTGAGTGCCGTTTTTGTATATGTGTTGTGTACATGTTTATTTATAAACGTATGTGTTCCTTTTCTTCCGTACGTGTTTATTGATATATCTGTACTGTAGTGTTTTCGGACGGTACTAGCTCTTACTGCCAATATAGGAGTATTACATATATAAATAAAACCAATTTTGTTTAGCAATTTAAAATTTTAAAATTTTGAATTAAATTTCCACCCATATTCGGAATTATTCGCGATAAAGCCCCGTTCTCACTCGCTGCCCTTTCGGCTACTGTTTTTATATGCTCCCTGAACCCCATATTAAAGTCGATGAACACTCCTAGATGCTTAATACTCGTATGTATGCGGTGGCGACTGTCTTATCACATACACGTCCACAGATACTAAGTACTAATTCATTAGGTGATTGCTTAGTTCTTAAAAATAAAATCTACGTTTTTTGAGATTGAGCTCCCGGTCCCTATGTGACCCGACACTTCAGCCCATAATTTCTTTGTAGGTACATAAAATTGTAGTTTTATGTGTATACAATTATATTTGTGCTCACATTTCTAAATCATTAAGAGTCTGTTGCCTTGCCCAAAATTACACATTTCAATGCAAACTTTCATTTCATTTAATTTACCGTTGCGAATATCGTCATAATCATTTAAAATAGATTAAGCTAAAGGTACATTTATGTGTATGTATGTACGACTTATTTTTTACTTTTTTATTTCTAATTTCGCTAGTAATTCAACGGCTTAATTTGTGGTTGAAAGCCAAAAGTTTTGGTTAATTAAATTCTGGTTTGCGGGCAATGGCTTATAATTTCCGCAAAGAGTAAATTTTTTATTCCTAAAAATATACATATTCATATGGCATAAAAATGTATATATTTATGTACCTAACTATGTGTATGTTTATGTTTATGTATATAATTTTAAGTCCACGAAAAAGAAAAATAAATGAATATCTCACAGTGTGTACATAAATGTTTCTTGAGCAGTTTTATATTTAACTGGAGTTGTAAGCTTTTTTTGCAATTCTATCCACGATCACATATTTTCGACCACATTCATAGTAATTTTCATATCTACCATAGTTTGCAATATTAATTTAGAGCAGTTGGACCCTGTTTTATTGGGACCTTTTTTGGCCTCAGAAAAAGCATTAGCGCTGGCCACAAATATCCAAATTAGTTTAAGTGTGTGTGCATATACATAAATATGTATGTAAATACGTATACATATAATAAACGTTTAGGTACAATACTCTCTTTTATACTTTTAGCAAATCCGATTTAATGTGACATTATGTTGCTCTGACATTTTCCACCTTTTTAGTTCAATAGGTCGCTGAAAATGTGTGCTTCCTGCAAGTGAACACTGACTGACATTATGTAGTGACTTACATTTGCCTATGACCGACTACACACATGTGCACAATACGTACTTTTTTGTAGCAGATAAATATATGTACAGACATGCATACCTATTTACATTAGGGTGCCTCACTCTTCTTCCAAAAAAAAAACGAACTCGTTACGGGTTTTCCATCGAAAATATAAAGTTTATTTTATTTGAAGACTGCTCTAAAATATTTGTTGCAAAATTTTAAGATTTACGTGAGCTGAACATCTTTGAAAATGGCTCCAAAAATCGATTTTTTTTAATAAAATTAGTTGTTAAAAATATCTTTTTTTTTTTAATTTTTATTAACGGAATCTGAGATTTTTCTTAATATGTTTACGAAATATTTTGGCGGGAATCTCAAAATATTTACATTTTATAATTTCAGTGGAAAAACCAAACGTTTTTTTTTTTGGTGATGCACCCTAATGTACATATACATGTTCATGAAAATATGTAAATATTTCGCAAATTTGCTTTGTCGTTTTATCAGCGAGAGTTGTGTGCGCCGCGTTATTTCAATGATGTTTCATTGTTCACTTAGAAAATATGACACACTCAAAAAATTCTTGCAATAATTCGTATCTAGCAAATAGAAAAAAATCACATTCTATTAAATAGTTACTTAAGTTCGCTTAAACGCAAGTTTAGTTAACCCGTTTGCAGTTGCTTCAGGTCAACTCGTAATGAAAGTTTTCTTGACTAAGATGCGCCGCCACAGAGTAACGGTGATAACGGCCCCTAGACTTAAATTACCACTTCATGCAGGCATCAACCGGTAGATTAACAGTAAAACGTTCTCATCCAATTTTAACGGATAGTGCGAAAAAATAGTTTTGTAATTTTTTCACTTTTTTTTGGTCCGCAAGAACGAAAAGTCTGGGAACCTGTGATTTAAACTGTTAAAGGCACTAAAAAGTTATGCTCAAATCCGGCTCCTCATATAACAAGTAGACTAAATTAATTCTGCTATATGGCCGCGATCACGCCCTCGAAAGCAGTTCCGTAAATATGGTTCTGATGACCATTTTCGAGCCGCACAGTCTTGTTGGCGGTGGCCTTCACTCACAAGAGCTCTCACTAAACCTCATTTTATGGCCTTCTATTCTGAATTAACAGCCACGAATTGATCAACTAACAACATACACTAGATACATACAGATATTCTAACAGCCAAGTTGTAATTAGATCACAAAGTTTAATAACACTTTATGGAAGTTGACCATCGAATATGAGAAGGCTTTGAACGAGTTAACTGCGAAATTTACCACAAGGTTTACGTTGATTCTGTTTTCTCCTGCATTGGCGCTATAACCGCTTGTGCAACTTTGGTGGAGTCCAACAGAGCACGCCAGGCATTTCTCTTCTGCGTCAATTTACGTCGTTGGACTTACGTTGAAAATGCCAAGTGAAGCCAAGTCCTTCCCCACCTGGTCGTTCCTTATTCCTCTGCTACCACCTGCGTTTCCAACACATAGGAGGCCTTATTCTGTTACCACCAGTGGGTTCTGAGGCGAATACTTTCAGATCTATAGTACTATTCTCTAATTTTTTTTACCGGCCGACAATCGTTTTCGCAACTTGCGACGATTATCGCTTGCGTTTTCGACAAGTTTATTCTGTAACTATGTCTTAGCGATTAAGCTGTTGTAGAGTTGGAGCCACCTGTGCTAAGTAGTATAATAATACACTTCAAGGAGTTTAACATTTCTTCTAAAAGCTAGGCGACGACTAAAATTCGTGTCTTGTTATTGACAGGCTTTTACAACACGTCAGATAGTTTCCTCGGGATCGCTTGGGAATACTTCACTATGCAGCTAGAATGGAAAGTAGGTCCCAATGATATCGTAAGGAATGTCAATGCTAACAATCTGACTAAAGGTCCATCGCATAACATCTAAGTCTAACGGCGTCAAATCGCAGCTCCGGGTAGCCAATTGACAACTACGAGATAGCTGATAAAA